ATTGTAGTTGTGATCAAAGGGAAGTTCCAGGAGCGTGGCACCTTCCAGTCCAGTGTCTGTTGTGCATAGAGAGACCAAACTGAGCATAGTTTCAGTGGTAACCCACTGAGTAGCCCAGAATGTTTTGGAAGGTTCTAAGTCATGAACTTAAAGAAGAAATAATGTTTATCTCTTACTTCACAGCAAAGTATTGGGGCCTCCATTTCGAAGGGAGCAGAAGTTGCATACTGTGAGAGATGGTGGGGGGGGCAGGTGGCTTTGGCTACTCAAAGTCTGCAGGCTCCATAAATAAACACTTCTGGGGATAAATGCTTTGCATCCAGGACTTTGTTGTCATCTCTGTGCAAATGAGAAAGTCTCCTTGAGAGCCTACAGTGTTGTGGGGACATTAACAGCAGCTTCCTGGGGTTAAAAATGGAAGCTTTCAGAGGAAAACAATTTTTCTAAGCTGCTATCTGTGCCTTTCACCTGGAATCATAGTTACCTTTGTGATCATCCTGTGAAATGAGGGGGAACAGCTATCCATCATAAATCCTCAATCTTTCTTCAGTTATTACAGGTAGACGAGTAACTTGTAACATGTAAGAGTGCTTATATTTGTATTCCCAAGTGTATTTGATTTCTGTTTTATTCTCCTCTTTTGGAAAGCTGTTGGCCTCTCTTTCATTGCTGTACTTCTTACATGATCCTTTCCAATTTCTAACAGGAACTCCGTCAAGATCCTTGATAACTTTGTAGGTAGACTTTTCTCTGCTCTGTGACTTGACTCTTATCTTTCCTTTCTCATCCAAATTGTTTTTTTTTGTTGTTGTTGGTTGTGGTTTTTTTTTAATCTTCCTCCAGAGTTCATAGCTTTTCTGTGTGTATAGGATATTCCTGAAGTACTTCTGGGCACTCTTCAGTTGCTATCTGACTTGGGATTCTGCACTGCCTTGATGCTTCAGTTGAAAAGTTTGAAATCCCTTAAGTTGTTGACCTTCTTTTCTCCTTATTAGATTTCCTTCATATTATTTTCCTGGCATCTTACTCTGTTCTCTCAGCAGGGTCAAACATGTCAAGCAGAGATGCTTCGTTTTCAAGTCTAGCACTTTTTAGATTGCCTTTTTTTTTTGCTTCTAGATAATTCACTTCTTCAGACTTTACAAAATATGTTCTTAATATATTTACATGCTGTTATTAGTGTGATTATCTTAACCCTTAAAATGCCTGCTTGTGGAGCATAAGTCTGGTAATTGCTGTTTAGTCTAGATCGTCTTGTTCTCTCTTCTATGTTATCATTGTGTCCAGGTAGACTTGAGAAGTTCCACCTCCAACATGTGATGACTGGAAGGACATGTACTGCCCTAGAAATGGTTGTCTTAGTTATTCCAGTAGACCTGCTCGTTCTTTCTAGTATACTTTCCAGTATACTTTTTGGTTGGTGGCTGGTGTTTGATATGTTTTTCTTTATCATGCTTCAGGTTTAGACTGTGTTTGGGGCTTGCGTTTTCATCTGGAAGCTGAGAGATAAAGAGATACACCAACAAGCTAAAGGTTGAGGGCACCATCCTCTGCTGTGCTTTGGGTGCGTTGGCCACTTTTTCGTGGCTGTTGGTGTCTCACACCTTTTTGCATTCAGTTTTGCATGTTTATTTGAGCAAAGATGGAGAGAATAGACCGTCTTCCAGTTATCTCTTGCTATAGAGATATTAACAAGTATCAAAATAGTTTATTTAATTTTATTTATGTACTGCTGTCTTGTGATTTTGCTTTTTTTATGGAGCCAAAGCTGTCTGACAGAACACTGTCATAGAATTTTAGTGCCTTGTTGATCTTTTGGTGACTTTTGTGTTCTGGTTCTTTTCCATACCATAATGCTAGTAGTGTTGGAATAACCTAGGATCCACAACTGGATAGACTTGAGGCTTAGGAACTTTTTCAATCCATTCCAGTATCTCCAGTCTCAAAATGCTGAGGCTTGCTATGCATACCATGTGTACACAGTGGTGTGTCTTCCCTCTGAGTTGCAGCTACAATATAGTTGTATCAACTAGGCTTAGTAACGAACTGTTTTGTGTCCACCCTGGTTATCTTCTTGCTAAATAATGTTCTGTTTGAGTGGGTGGTTGGAGTTTCAGGTAGGGAAGGACTGACTTCGTTGCTTTTTTAACACAGGGCGAGTGTTTTGTGATTTTAAGATTTGGATTTTTTTGCTTGCTTGTCTCAAGGTGGTGGTTTACACATGAACTTAAAGCTTGCTTTTCTGTCACTCACTGTCTGAATTACCTACTTATTTCAGTCTGGAACCCAGATTTTGCTTCAAGCAAGGGCTTTTGCTTCTGATACTGTTGTCTGATGTTGCTGTTCTAGTCAAGTGTTTTAAAGTGTGATCACACAGATCAAAGCAGTAAATTTCTGTGTGGGAACTAACTGTAGCGTGGCAAGTCCTTGGAGTTTTGTGGGAGGTGGGCCTGGGGATGAAACAAGTAGTAGCACTGTTTCTACTTCTTTTTCCTTTCTCCCAGATCAAGCACTGCAACTAGCAGAAGCTTTACTACCTCTTCAAAATCATCAGCAAGTTCTTATTCCTCAGTGTCTGCCACTTCTGTCATTACTAACGGTGATAGCAGTAACTCCTATGGACTGAACAGCTCCCACCTGGGCAGGGGGTAAGAGCAGGAATGTTCCTTTTGCTTCTTCGTCCTTCATGTGAATAATCCCATGCATCCTTGCCTGTATAAAAAAGGAATGTGATGAGGAGTTCTGCTACTCTTGTCTATCTCTTTATCAGACTTTGCTTTTGAAACCCCTGCGTTCTGCTGTTCCTTGCTCACTTGCAAAAGTAGCACATATTCCAGAGCTTACTGTTAGGGCGCTGCCTGATTTGAGGGGATTGGGAATATAATGGAAGGGATTTCATCTGTGTGATAGAAGCCTTTCCAGGTAGAGATAATTTTTTAATTAACTCTTACAGTAATATTGTGCAAACTGTTGCTGCATTAGGGTAGAGTGCTGTGTACTTACTGACAGAGGAAAATAATGTGTTATGAGCCATAAATTAATAATAGACTGTGTAATGCTTAATGTTTCTAAAGTTAGCACATGTACTTCACATTCCTGGTATTCATCATTAGCCACTATGAAGCAGCACAAACATGTAACATGCTGGTTAAACAATTTCATTAAACATCTTTTTGACTCGTATTTGGTGTGACTCTTAAACAGTCTTGAGATTCAGTAAACTCACTGTGGAGTTCACTGTGTTGTTTTTTTTCCAGAGGTTCTGGATTTGTCTGTAACTCTTACAGCTGCAGGGATAATGCTTCCGTGTCACAACCTGGACTCTGTGGACTCAGTAACCTTGGAAATACCTGCTTCATGAATTCTGCATTACAGGTAAGACTTTGGGAGAGTCTTTAGAATTAAATGAAAGAGCAGTCTTGCAAACATTGTGGGTTAAAACTTGTGGAAAGAAAAGGATGTTCTAATGTGATTCAATGAGGAGACTGCACCTGGAATGAAGAAAAACGACCCAAACAACAAATCTCAAACAAAAAAATGGGCTTGTATTTAATTTGACTTATACATAGCACGTTAGTTCTATAAACAGTATAAAGGACTGGATCTGAAATGATCCAGTAACTTCTGGAAGACTGGGGGGGAAGTAATACTAAACAGATGTGCAACTGTAAAGTCCCAGTGCTGTGCTCTGACAAAGATGGGCTGACGTGGAGGACATTGTGACTTGTGTGGGCCGCACAAGTGATATGAGCAGTTCACTGCAGGCAGTTCTGGGGTCCATATTTAAAGATTCCTCCAAAATGAAGAGTGTGAAAAGCCACAGGAAGGGTTCAGGGTCATTGTGTGGGTGTTAAGGTTGAGTCAGTTATGCAAAGATAATAATTACTGGCATACTCATTTCACTTAGTCTCTTCGGTTTATTTGGTTCATTAAAAAAAAACCAACTTGTTAAGGATAGTTTTTTGTTAAGAATTTCAAACAAAATATGAGCCAGCTTGTATGAACTTTAGTGTGGTACAAGTGCTGTGTAATGACTTCTGTCATTCTGTGGTAGCTTTGAAAGCTAGAACAGGTCTTAAAATAACTATAATGCATTATGCATGTCGTATTCAGGATACCAGAATAAACTTGGGCTGCCTTACTTGTTTGTTCGGCGTGACTTTATTTTTAGTTGTATCATGGTAACCTTACACCACATTATATTCTCTTGAACTTTACAGCTAAGAGACAACTTCTAGAATTATTTTTTTAATTGTCAAAGTAATTTAATCCAAACATGCTTTAATCTGAACTTTTGCATAGAAACTAATCGGGTGAAAAACGTTCTTGTATTTACTATTAGGCTTTTATTTTCTAGACATTAGTCTCTCAAATGCAAATCTCTGACTTAATTTTTTGAGGTTCGTGGAATTTTGTTAGCAGCAGTCTCCCAGTGAGAGGCTGGTGTCAAACCATAGCAATCTATAAGCACTTTAATGTCATCTGTCCAGAGAAAGTTACTTAGCGCATAGACACTGGAACTGGAAGAATTTGATAGGAAATAAATTCCACAAGCTACACATCAAGGCAGTGACAGTGGAGGAGGCTGAAGGGCAGGACTGCTAACTCTCTCTGGATTGCCTATGTAACTGCTGGGAGAGCTGTGTACCTACACCTAGTTGGTGAAGCACTGTACAGGGATCTGCTACAAGTCCTGAAATTTCAGGTGTTCAGAAAGAGCCCACTTTAATATTTCTTGATACTACAGTGCCTTGAAGCCCTAGTAATTTTGATCGTACCTCAGAATTAGCTTTGTTCTCACATCGAAGTCTTGCTTATCCGAGTGTCACTTCTTGCTATAAATGTAAAAATCTTTGAATTACTGAATTAGCAAAACTACTTCCTGTGTTAGTTGTGTCCTGAGGTTTATGGTGATTTCCTGGGATGTATTAAATCACTACCACAATACACAGGTAATGAGTATATAAATCATAGAATCATAGAATAGTTAGGGTTGGAAAGAACCTTAAGATCATCTAGTTCCAACCCCTCTGCCATGGGTAGGGACACCACACACTAAACCATGTCACCCAAGTCTCTGTCCAACCTGGCCTTGAACATTGCCAGGAGAGTAGATATAGAGTAGTATCCTTCCTATCTTTAAACAGCTAACTTTGTGATGGGTATTTTTTAATGGTGTTTGGTCCTTTGTAGGTTAAAGCATAGCTTGTGTTTCACTTCTTGAAGGAGCAAAAAAACCTTTCTTCTCAGTGTCCCTCATGTTAAGATTTCAAGGTTAGAGATGGAATATGGGATGTAGGCTTGAGGACGTTAAGGACATCTCTGAAGACCTTCCGTACTTGTTCTGTGCAGATTTATGTGTAACACATTAGTAAGGTTGCCTGCCCTAACACCCCAGTAACCGGTGGAAAAGCAGGTCTGCATACATTAATTATAGGAACAGGCAAGTCTTGGCAGGGCAGTGGTTGTAATCTTTACTCTTACGGCGCTTTCAGGTTTTTTTTTTTGCCAGATCTCAGCATTACACTAAGAGACTCTAGCCAAATTGAAGTGTCAGTGGAAGTTACAGGACAAAATAACAAAATGTGGTGGGACAGTAATACCAAGAGCAGATATCTTTCTTCCGAAAGTCTGCAGTTGTGGGGTTTCTTTTGGTTGTTTCATTTTTTGTTTGGTTTGGTTTTGTGTTTTGTGGGGGTTTTTGTTTTTTTGTTTTTGTTTGCTGTTTACTTTCCTGATCTGTTAAATACAGTAACTTTAAATGAATGCTTCAAATTATTCTGCACTGAAGGAATTGAAGGAGATAAATGTGCTGCCAGTTTTAAAGAGATTTCTGAGGGAGAACCAAGTGGCTGTGGAGCCTATGCCTGAAGCTAAATAAACCAATGGAGACTGCTCTGGAGGGGGAGCCTACACTTGGGGGCAAATATGCTGCAGAGAACAAAAGTCCATGTGACACCAATGAGAGAAACCATGTTTCAGAAATGAGCTGTTAGTTTTTTGAAGGCTGCCCTATCTGGTGGTGATGCTTTTTAATTTTAGCCCTGCTCCGAGTTGCAATGGTTACAGTATCCCACAGTCTCTTGGGTTTTGTTAGTAACGTAGTACATGTTCTAATGTGAAAGTTGGGTTTGTTATTTTATTGTCACTGATTTATTGTCTTGTGCAGTAAATTAATTTTCTTAATGCTTTTTCAGTGTCTAAGCAATACCCCTCCTCTGACTGACTATTTTCTGGAAGACAAGTATGAAGCTGAAATAAATCAGAACAATCCACTGGGGATGAGAGGAGAAATTGCAGAAGCCTACGCAGAGCTCATTAAACAGATGTGGTCTGGAAGACAGTCACATGTGGCACCACGTATGTTTAAAGTAAGTACTCCATGTTCTTGTAGCATAGCTTTTTGACAGAAGAAACAGTGGAAGCTAATATGCCTTCCACGTATGCTAGTGTTAGGAAAGCAGCAATGACAGAATTTGTTGTTTCGTGTTCTATGCAAATGCTTTCAGGGTACAGGGAGGGACTTGCTAGAAGTCATACCCCAGAACTGGTTACTGCTCCTTAATGTGAAATGCCTTACTTGGTAAATGACCTTCCAGCCTTGGAGCTGTTTACAGATGCATCAAAATGATCTTTGCCACAAAACTAGGCAAGGTCATGTGAATTGCTGTGAACTTTAATCAGTGGGAAAAGGAATGTTATAATTTTAAAGAGTAAAATTAGTGGAGAACAAAACGCATTCCCGTGTCTATAATGTTATTTATTGATGCAGTGTTCCCAGCGCTTCAGTGTAAAAAGCTGCTTTCAGCTGAAATACTGCAATACAGCAGTTGCATATGAACCTCTAGAAAAACTGTAGCTATGTCTTTTGTTTTAAGTGTAATGCAAAGATGCTCCAGTGCAGAACGGTGAATAAAGCGTCGAAGGAACACAAAGAGTTTGCTTCTGTAGTGCAGCCTCAGTTTGCTGTGAAAGATTAAGATCTCAAATGCATGAAATAAGCAGTGATCTGATATTAATGTAAATGTGTGTCCTGTTACTGTTTAGGTTTTGTGTGGTAGTTTTGCAGTTGAGGGTATATACTTTTGAGACCTGGAGCAGAAGTCTGATGGGCTATAGAAATCTGCTGTCTGTGTAGTCATAGGTAGATCTGGATCAACAAGATGTTTAATTTCTGTGACTTGGAGTTGTTGGCAAATCACCACTATGCAAGTTGATCTGTAAACTTCCATTCAGAGGAAATATATGAATATATAGTGGACAGCAGTAAAAGTGCCTTAATGTGGGCTGTTCTTGTTTAAGGTTGGAATAGGAATTACTCTTTATTTCCTAGTAGTACAGTATCAGTTGTGATTTTTCTGTTGCTTATTCAGTGACAGTGTTAATTATCTGCAATATGTAAGCAGCCCTTCAGTCTGGGCTTCCTTGCAGTTATTACCTTGAGCGTTCAAAATGTGCTAAGCATAATTTTGCAAGCCTGTTGGACTCTTTATGGGAAGACTAGTGATGGTCATAGGACTGACCACTCCTGTTAATTGTTGGTTTTCCTCTGGGATCCCTTCCTACTCCTGTTTCAGGAGCAGGAACACTAGATGGCGGTGTTGCGAGATAAGAGGTGTGTAAGGGCATGCTGTTTCTGGCTTTTGCTAGCTCAGGCTGTTCTTAGCTTCATATCATAATCTTTAGAGTACCTAGAGATTACTGTGGTGAGATTTTCAATATTAAGTTTTAAGCCAGGTTTTTAGCTCATAATTATCTTCTGCAAACACTTTGAGTCTTCCAGTCCACCTGCTTCAGGGTGCTGTCTTACAGCAAGTCTGCATTGTGAGAACTGTAAGCTTCTGAAAGAGAAATTAAAGTACAACGTATATATTGGCAGATGGGTTTTGTGTGCTGGTTGTTTTGGAGGTTCCTGAATTAATATTGGTAACTTTGATTTCTAGCATCACAGCACTGAATGCATTCTTCCCTCTCAACACTAGGAGGGGAAATAAAAACAGTTGAGAAAATTGTACTGACACCCTTACTGCATTAGAATCCAGTTCACTGTGATCTGCTGCTAGCATAAGGTAGCATGGAGTCGATCCCTGCAAAAGGCAGGACATGAGTGTTTTTATTCTTATTTTTTCATACATAGGTAATGCTCAACCCCTCTGACGCTTGTCTCTATGTTTCAGACACAGGTTGGCAGATTTGCCCCTCAGTTTTCAGGATACCAGCAGCAAGATTCCCAGGAGCTCTTGGCTTTTCTTCTTGATGGCTTGCATGAGGATTTGAACAGAGTGAAGAAGAAGCCCTACTTGGAGCTGAAGGATGCCAATGGCAGACCTGATTCGGTATGGTGCCCTTTACTTAAGGGTAGGGCAGGTAGTGCTTCCCAGGGAGTTTAGTTGTGTTTTGTGGCACTTCCTGGCCTTCCAGCTCATCGGCCACACAAACATTGTCCTTGCAAAGCAGTCTACCTGGGAGGGGAGAACCCTGCCATGCCTTATGGCCTGGCTCACTCTTCATGACACCTCATGGCACATTGCCGTTGTTCAGCCTTACAGCAGAATGTGTGTTCTTGTACTGTTGTGCAGGAAGATGTGCTTATGGTGCAATATTGACATCAGTATCAATGTTCTGAGTTTTCTTTGATCCCTGTGCTTGTGAGATCCCTGAGTGTTTGTGAGAAATAGCTTTTAATGTTTTGTGTTTTTTTTTCTTTTTATAGGCAGTGGCAAAAGAGGCCTGGGAGAATCATAGGCTGAGGAATGATTCTATCATTGTGGATATTTTTCATGGTCTTTTCAAATCTACTCTTGTTTGTCCCAAATGCTCTAAAGTTTCTGTCACCTTTGATCCCTTCTGTTATTTAACCCTTCCATTGCCCTTGAGGAGAGATCGTCTCATGGAAGTCACCTTGGTATATGCAGACCCACAGCGTAGGCCTGTCCAGGTGAGGCAGTTGAAGACAAAAATTTAAGTAATCTGAGTCTTTCTCTTAGGTTTTAAAGTTGACACTTTGCAAGTGACGTAGAGGATATTGTTGTCCACCTTTGGGTGAAGTAGGATGGGTTTTTCTTATTCAGAAACTGGGAATTGAACATGTGAAATCAAGTGGCTTTATAAAATCTCAGTTCGTGAGACTAGGTTTATTTTGCCTGGTATAAGCATGATATTGTCTTTGTTTCTAGTACCGGGTTGTGGTGCCGATGATGGGGGCCATCTCAGATCTGTGTGAATCGCTTTCCAGACTCTCTGGTGTTCCTGCAGAAAATGTAAGGGTAAATGCAGACAGTAATCTCTCTTTTTTGTTCTTGAAGCGTTTTGGTGGCTTAGCTTTTAGATGAGTGGTAAGCTGAACTTAATGGAATAGTGATGAAACCCTAGCAAGTTTGAATGCTTTTCTTTGATCGTGAAATAAGAAAGATGCACGAAATAATCTGTGCTTGCTCTGATACATGCATTGCAGTACAGAGGTGTAAGAGAATGGGCAGAAAGCTTTTGGCATTGCATCTCCTCCATACCTCTGTGGACCCAGTCTATTTGCTTTGTTTTTCTGATCTGTCTTAACAAATACAGCTGATTAGCTGCTGGGTGCTGTTATAGAAAATAGTGCTGATGTGTGCTGAAAATTCTGATAAAGAATAGGAATAAAATGCTATTTGAATTTAAAGTTAGTTTGCATAAACTTACATAAGCTTTTATTATAATTTCTTTGCAAATATCACTTGCTGTTCTAGATGGTGGTGACAGACGTGTATAATCATCGGTTCCACAAAATCTTCCAAATGGATGAAGGTTTAAATCATATCATGCCAAAAGACGACATCTTTGTGTGAGTAAAGTGAGAAGATGCCATGGTGTGAAGAGTGCTACAAAACATTGTTTTGGTTTCAGGATATAAAACCTGATTACTCCTTTTTTTACCTTTTCCCTCTTGAACATAAGCCTTCCTGTAGACCTTTTACATGATTTAGCAGTAATGCAGCACTTCTAGCGGCAGATTGGCATGTGTGGTGTTCAGTGTTTTCCTAATGCAAAGG